CTTTCACTTATCTAGGGAGCATTGTCTCAACTACAGGAGGAACGGACGAGGATGTCAAATCGAGAATCGGGAAGGCGAGAAACACATTCATCAACATGAAACCAATCTGGAAATCTTCGTCACTCAGCCTGCATCAACAACAAAGTGATTCGGATTTTCAGTACAAACGTCAAGTCAGTCAGTTCTTCTATACGGATCAGAAACTTGGCGGGTCACAAAGAATATTTCCAACAGATTGCAGACCCTTATCAACAGCTGTCTTCGTTCTTTACTCAAGATCAGATGGCCGGAAAGAATCACAAACAAGAAGCTATGGGAACCAACAAAACAGGAACCAGTCGCCCAACAAATATGTAGGAGAAAGTGGAGATGGATCAGGCATATATTGAGGAGGCCATCAAACGACATCACACTCCAGACTCTCGAGTGGAATCCAAATGGAAAGTGACAAGTAGGTCGTCCTAGGATAACATGGAGGCGATCGTGTGAGGAGGAGATGAGAGATTGTGAGCAATCGTGGTCCAAGCTGAAGACACAAAGAAGCAAAGTGATGTGCTGTTGAAGCCCTATGTTCCACTAGAAACCCCAAGGAATAATGATAATAATATATCGCGATGCTACCACTAAGAACGATTTCGCTTAAGTTGCAAAGCCATAGTAGATGCTGCCTTACTAGCACATCAGAATTCCATGACACTTTTGAATATCTCAGCTGACTCATCTAGCACTGTATTTGGTAATGTTGTACAACTGACCAGAAATCAGTAGCAGCCACTTAACTTTTCCATTGGGTGGCTTCAGACAACGTAAAGAAATTATGGTTGCCAGGGATCCATTGGTAACGTACCGTGGTGTAACTTCTGGTATTCAATCACGAATCCATCACTGTCACGGATGACAAACTACTCACATATTCTCTGGAATCAACAACAGACAGACATTTACCAGGAGAATCAAGTCAGGTAGACTACATTTTACAGTTTACCTTAAATATTTGCCATAAATCTAGGGTTGATTACATTATCGTAGATACTTTATCACTCTTCCGATCCTCCCCAAAAGTGACAGCTTGTGAAACTGACTCGTTTTTAAGAAGAAGGTAGCAAGCTTCAAAGGCTCTGAAATTACAAGAGTAACTGTGATGCATAGACAGAGTTACTACTCCTTGTGATACCTCTACGGTTGAACCTCATCGTAAAGTGCCTAAAAGAAACCAAAAGCTTAGAGCAGTTAGACACTTGAAAAGCCCTCCTCGTCTTTTTCTTATAAATTAGATGCCTGCTTTGACCACATCTTCACAGTTACGCCTACAGCCCCTTCAGAATCTTACTGATATCTCTATATGTTGGTCTATATACAGTTTAGACGAAATACTGTATGGAAGATAAAATTGGTACCGACCCTCATTAACCAGTTTATACAGACGGATATCCTCTGAATCTAGACTTGGTCATTCCATATAACACCCAGTGGGTCAGAGTCTCTAGAATGTGAGGAGGCGAGCGACACTGGCAAGGCAACGAAAGCCTTTGTTGACACCAACTGAAAAACACGTTCTGAACGAACTGCGAGGTTCCCAAAGCACCTGTAGACGATGGTGGTCCCTCCTAAAAAACCAATCCGTAATGCTTGAAGCACAGTTTTTTCGTCACTTCTGGTTTATTCTTTAACATACTATGCGAAATAAATTAAGTGCTATGTTCACTTACTTAAGAAGTCAGTGCTTTTTTGGTGTTATGCTTATTTAGTGTTGTTTATGCACTTCTGATTTCATCGACTTTTGTTGTTTTTTCTGGTTAAGATCCTAAGTTTTCCTGCTTTCTCTTCAGGGTGAAACGGAAGCTTGACAAGAAAAGAAAGGAGCTCGTGAACCTGTGGACGAACACTTAAAGAATGCTTGTACATGCATAGCATTAACAAAAGAAGGCGACCAAAGGGCCACTCACTGCTATTGCACCACCATCGAAATTTAACCTCCGGCTGTTATCGACGCACGGCCAGGGCTAGAATAGCCAGCTGTAGCAAGAAATAATTTCTCAAATAATCAAGCTTAAAACTTTCATCACTCAACACTGGGTGAAGATCTTCTGTGATTAAGTCTAGTGATTAGGCATTAATCCGCGGTCAAGCATTTACACTATTTAGCACGCTGTCGTGTTACAGTTGGCTCTTCGTGTACATAAAGCGGATATATCGATCTGACAAGGAACCTGTTGCTCAGCAAACATGCTGGGAAAATGGAGATGGATGTGACACGCACTGAGGAGAACGTCCAGTGACATCGCATGCCACTCAAGCCCTCCGGTGGAACCCAAAGAGAGCGATCAGGTAGGGCATCCAAGGGTGGCATGGAGAGAGTCGTGTGAGACCAGAGACTATGGGCGATTGCGGAACCGGCTAAAGTGAACTGCAGAGAATAGGGAAAAGTGATGACGTGCTGCTGAAGTCCTATATTTCACTGAGAACCTAAAAGAACAATAACAATAATTTACCATATCAACATATCTTGCATACTGTGGGAATCCTACATCTCCTAAAGGAGTGCGAATGTTGCTATCAGACTTCGTTTAGTCAGAGGAAACTGAGTAGTCAATATTCCTTGAAAGTGTGTGGGGGTCTAGATCTGGATATATACAAAGTTCAGCATCTTGCTAACTTGTGGCACTACAGACTATAAATGCCCCGAAAACGTTGAAATCCTCCACGTGCCATCACCTGTTATATCTTTAGGTAATTGTTGTGTGCGTTCTACAGCGACAACAAATAATCTCCTGATCTGCCTTAGGATGACTTGCGTACTTTAATTGGCTACAGGATTTCATCATGAGCTAACATCGATTAGAGAATTGATACGCATTTGACCAGGCTGAATGCCTTTTTACCCCTCATTCTGACTGATAACACAAAAATCCTGCAAGTCTTTGGTCCAGCTACCCCAGCATGATAAGTCCTGAGATCTTTCTCCAGGTAACCCTGATATGAATATATAAGTCGAAGAAGCATGTTTCTAAATAAATAAAACTTTCTGACTAATATCTTGTTTCAGTACTTGTGCATCAGTCAAAGCACTGATGAATAGTATAGTAGTGAAAACTGTATTCAGTAACTTTGAGATTGAGTTATATATTGGGAAAAGCAGTGACTTATATGCCTGGACCATGGTGTCAAGATGATGGATTGTTGGATGTAAAGTTCCACGGAGAGGTGGATGAATATGTGAGAGTGAACGTAAAACACTTAAAGCTGTATACGAGAGTAGTGAGATGTGGAGAAGTTATTGCATGTGAAGTTTAGAATACTAGTCATGAGTACGCAATCGCAGAACCTGTAATTAGAATATTTACACTTATTAATTGTGTAATAGCAACCTCATTTTTATCATAACTTGGTAAAACAATAACTGTCATCACTGAAGTCATTGTTCATCTTATCGTTCTCAACTTACCACTTTTTGCGGGCTGAACACGAATAAAATGATATAAAAGACCGAAGCGAGGTGTCTTCAGTAAGGGTATACATTGACTCAGACTGTCAAATTTGGGTTTTGTAAGCATCTGGATCTGCTGTCATCATGTTATAGTTATGTCTATTACAGAAACATATTTACACCATGTTGTTGAAGTTGCATCGGTGGCATAGCCGTTAAGGCGCTCGCCTACCATGTATATGGTCCAGGGTTCGATCCCCGGCCGATGCACACCTGATATCAATGGTTGGCCTGCTAAATTTTGGCTACCGATATCACATGCTGAAAATTCCATACTTGTGCCAAAATACTGTGTGGAACCAAGCCATAAAATTAAATTAAATAAATAATTAGCTTAAATAATTAATTTATATGACCAACAAGGTGCTATGAAACAGCTGTCTGAGCTGATGTGTTGAAAAACATTTCTAGCTTGATTCAATGTAATGGAATTTTATTTAGAGTAACACAGAGGAGCATGTATAAAACAACAAACTTTTCTGCTGGCTAATCCACGAAACGCTAAATGAGCATATTTGTTGGTGTTTTACTTACACTCCTCCAAGAAACCATAATGATGGAATCAGTCCTTAGTTATCCTTAGCTTTGCTCCCGGAGATTAAAGTTTCACTTTCCGCCAAAATATGAAGTTAATAAATAAAGTTACCTAATCTAAATTATTCAAGGTGCCTGGAAAATAACGGCAATCAAACTAAGAAACGAGTAGACAAGTCACAATTGCAGTGATTTTCATGAATTATGCCTAAATCCTTGTAAATACGCCTCTTCACTCAAGTCCGTTTTCTCTTTCGTCAATATCAAATATTTTATCACCAAACTAGACGCATTTGTTATTTAGTCCGTCACCATAACGAGTCCTGCTGATTTTTTAGAATACAGCATATATGGCTTTTCGTTTTTTTTTGTGACTTCGTTTTGGTGTCAAGACTTTTCTGCTTACTCTTCCGAAAGAAAATGTTCCATAGTATTGGGAGTAGATGACAGCATAAAAACCGGCTTATTCCTCCAGGTTAACACGAACTGGGATTATGCTCTGCACCTGTTATCCACATGACTGATATAAGCAGACAAAAACGGAAAGCCACGGCGAAATTCAGCACATTACTTAGTACGTTGGCAGAAACCAGCAAAACGCCAGTGTATTTCTTTATCAGTTATTCTAAAATATCTATGACTTTCAGAATAATAATCACAACAATGAAATTAGCAATCAAATAATGAAACAAGACAGTTGGGAAATTCGAAATCGACAGTAGTCGTTCCAAGACCCGAAATGATCTGAAATATGTCTTAGTCCAAATACGAATGATTATCAAGAACAGGCATATATTAGTGTTCCAGTATTGCTATGCTTCGCATAAGAAAAGAAAGAACATTATGAAAACTTGGGGTAAGATGATCTCAGACAAAACCGAAATGTTTTATTAGACTCATAAAAATATATTATTGTAAGACGCCGTTTGTTTTTCAGAACTGAACTTTGGAAGACCTTGAAGTGATTTCGAAACCGAGCGGAAATTATCTTCAAGGCCGTTTGTGGTTGGACGAATATGATACAATTAGTAAGAATGTGTGGCTTTATTCCATAAAACATGCAGTTTTCAGATGTTTCTTCAACGGCCTTGTTTGGCTTTCACCAATACATTGAGCAGTTATATAACTATGACCAGAAGGCTGTGCTAGCAACATTTATCGCCTTACTTTTCTTCTTAGCTAACTTAGGTAAGCGTCTGCTTTAAGTTTGACTTTTAGGCATTTTTGACTTGAATTTCGCCTTATTTTTCTACACCCTTTTCAAAAAGCTACCGTTTGTGAAGTCGTTTGTTAAGAATAAAGTGGACAAAGCTCTTGATGAAATCCATGCAAGTTTACATGGAAAGACATCTGATGTAGTATATGAAAAGAATCTCCCAATTTGTGGCCGCACTTCGGTAACTCGTTTTAATTATATGTAATGTACCCAGGAAAGTGTGCTTTCAAGTGTCCGAAAGTACAAAGCACTAGGTTTGTTCATTGAATTCCTCTGTTTAATTTATCACAGAGTATATAAAGTGGAATGATGGCTTTGCATCAGGGAGCGTTTATCCCAGAGATGAGAATCTCAATGATTTGTGCGGAAAGGTAGATTAATGTCTATAATTTAATTGTATGGCACAGTTTGTTGCATGTATTTACTTCGTTATTTATACGTAACCCGATATTTATAATGATCAAATAGACTTCAAAACTTGAAAAATTGTGATTTTAAGTTCCGGTCTATTGACTTTATGTAATTTTTTCCCGACTTCAAACAAACGAACCTATATTATCATCGTCTTCCCTAAAATGATAGTCACACTTGAATGAATATCATGCTGAACAAAAACGAAATTGGATTCATTCGTTTGACGAAGAGTATTAATCGATTACTGAACATTATTGCCAGTAAAATTCCGGTTTTCAGATATGAGCATACAGGTATTCAGACAATTAACCTTTACAGTTCATACTCAAGTGATATGTATGCAATAAAATATAATAGATTCTTTCATATTTGCATTTTTTAAAAATAATTGAAAAGCTATTGACCTTGTTTGTATTCATTTCCTCCGTGTGTATCGATGCCGTGTGAACTAATACGATTTTGTCAATTTGTCTGTCTGACTGAGGACTGCTCTGTTGATGCAAGTGTTAAAACATCCCCCATGTCAACAACTGCTGTCTTGACAGTAGATCTTGGTAGTGTTTCATTATGCACTGCAGCAGCTAATAAACTGGATCTGTGGAAATTGTTAATACAAACGATTTAGCTCAGTTTTTGAATTTGATCGTATTGAGCAAACTATATGTTCCTCACTTTAGTGAAGAAATTAATGTTTGGTGTTAGTTGTACTATGATTTATAATTTTATTTGATTGTTTCAAAGATAGTGTCTCCTTATAACAGCAATAAATAAATTATGTTCTCGTGGCCTTAATCTAAAAACAGGCTCCCTGGCTGCAGTTTTTTCATCAACACATTTTTTGCAACCATTCTCTTCCTTTTAGGTGAACTCACCTATCTTCGATTTTGTATTCCTTATTATACAGTACAGTTTTAAACCCGTTAATGTTTTTAGTTTGACAGATTCTTAAATAATGTGGTACTAAATTCTTCCTCATATTTTATTTCTTTTATAATTACACGCACACACACACAATCATTTTCCAGGTCTTCAAAGAATGTCTTTGGACAAACCCACTACATCCAGACATTTTTGTAGACATCCGCCGAATGGAAGCCGAAGTTGTACGAATGTGTGTCACAATGTTCCATGGAGACGAAGATGCATGTGGCTCGGTGAGTTGCCTGTATTGTATCCGATGGCTCCTTTGAAGTGTTTTGATTTATTTGGTGAATTCTTTACGTAAAGCATTATGTTTACGATGGAGTGACACAGTGGTGCTCAGGAGCCACGAACAGTCCTGTACACTTGGTAATAAGCCACGTGTATTGTGTTGAAGTTAGTAGCATTATCTTGTTGCTCTGACATTGGTGGATGACACTGTATCTGAATCATTGAATAACTAATTGAAAGTCCGGTTCAAAACTGTGGTCTACCTGTTTAAGCAGTTAATTTCAACTTAGTGCACCTAATTTGTTGGGTAATGCCATCAGTGTTCAGAGAACATGTCACTCAAAGCTTAGGGAACAAAATGTTTCCAGTACTTAACAAAATACACTCAATGGAGAGGAGCTCTTTTTAATGACTTAGTTTTGCGGTTTTCATCAATATTGACTTCATTTGAAATTAATCACTCAATCAAAAAGTAATAATGATAATTAAAAACCATCAAAATAAATAGAGATCAGGTAAAGTAGTTTAAATGAAGGAATATAGTTATAGCTATAGAAGGAATTGACTTGGCATTGTTCTGAGACTACTCCTACAATTTGTCAGGATTACAATAGCTTAGAATAACGAAGCTAATTTTGCATTATTCAGAAAAATACAAGTAATTACTCATCAGGCTCTAGCGTCTCGTATTATATAATTTATCGACCGATTCCAACGTCGATTACTGTCCGTCAGAGGACTTTTCACATAAGTACTCCCTATGGGGAGACAGTGATGACCCGAATAGTTCAACGGTAAAGTTGCTGGCTTTACCACTGAATAATGCTGGTCTAATTCTCATTTGAAACATGGTTTTTTGTCAAGATTACAGATGTGTCTTGCTGTTAAGTGAGTTTCAAGAAATATGAAGTGTAGGTCTATCTCTGGCTTTCTGAGGATTGACATCTAACGTCTAGCGTGTTTCCAGAAGCAAATACCTGAGCCATAAGAGCATCCGTCTGTTTGCCTAAATATTTAGAAAAAGAGGACTGAAAGTTTGCCCAACTTCAGAAATTAAGCACGTAGTACACTAGTGGCATAAATTAACAAAGTTCTCCACGATTATCAGCCATCGAGAATGACATAACACAATAAAAGTGTTACATTAAGTGAAATTATCTAATATAGAGTTACATTCTACAAAAAAGCCAAAATTCTACTCTTACATTTATGATGGAAGACGACTACTGCTTCGAAAGCCTATGTAATGCATGAAATGGAAGTCAATTTAAGAAGACCATATTAACAAAACATTGTTATATTATTATTACTATCGTTCCTTTGGATTCTGAGTGGAACATATGACTTCAATATCACTTCGTCCTATTCTTTGCGGTCCCCTTTAGCTGGCCTCACGATTGCCCATGGTCTCAGATCTCCTCCTTTCATGATCCCCTTCGTGCCACCCTTGGAAACCCCACTTATCTTTTCCTATTCAAGTTCCATTCTAGGCTGTGCCTGGTGCGCGATGTCATTCGACGATCTCGTGGGTGTGTATCCGACCCATCTCTTTTTTCGGAAAATTCGCTGAGCTGTAGGTTCTTGGTTGGTTTGTTCTCAGAGTTTCTTTTCGCTGATTCTTTCCGACCCGTCATTTGATATTCAGTATAGACTGGAAGCTGCTTTTAATAAAAGTCTCCAACTTGTTATAAACGATTTTGATAATGCTGCTATTTTCCGACCGATCGTTATTATCCTTTTATTATTTTTTACTCTTATTTTTTACTTCTGACAGGTTCACTTTGTTTAACAGACAAGCACTATACTTTTATGGTTGTTTTTTATTTTTATAACTCAGCTATAACTTTCATGATCTTACAGCCACTAAGCTTTCTCGTTGAACAGTAAGATTATCTGACAACAGAATTTGGTTGGAAAAATGTTATCGTCGGTCAAACCAACACATACCCTCAATCTATAAAGTCTTCCGACTGTTGATTTTAGCCATATAGATAGGTATTCACCGCCTGGCTGGGCTCCTTAAGATCCTAAAAACCAATAGCTAATGACATGGTTCAAAATTAACGCCATTGATTCAAATCTACTCAGTCTTCTAAATCTCTCAGATCCACTAAATTCTCATTAGTCTCTATTTAATTATTTTATCGTTTGTGAAGTGTTACAGCTGGAACTGCTGAACTTTTGTGTAGGATCATAGGTTGAAAATTCAGTTCAGTCCTCACTTATCGTAATTTTAATTTTTACTTAACATGTTCAATTGTCATAACGAATGTTGACTCCCGCTTAAAATTTCTTTACATATCTACCTGATTTGTCGGAACCAATGACGTTTATGCCACCTCACTCTATACACTTTGTGTATGTGTTCCTGGTTTTAGTAAGCACGTATGTAGAGTGCTCATCTCAATAATTCTAGACAATGTTCAAGAATTCATTAAGTGATAGATTCTCCCTGCTTTTGTTACCTGCTTATTTAACCTCTTTAACTTCATACGTGTATTTAGAAAAAATGATATCACTGGTAAAAAGGAGGCGTTACTCTACTATTTTCGCTTTGAAGATCAAGTTTTCTTCTGTGGATAACTCCATCATGGGGTTCAAATTACTTAATGATACTTCTAAATAGTGTCAAAAATCAATATTTTAAGTGACTATTTTGTGTGATATTTAATTAAATATACATTGCACTCCATAGCGAGTGTATAGTACTGGCATTCTCTGCACATGGGACCATTATATGAGGAATATCCTTCGTATGCTTTCAAGTTATCGTGTATGATGTGTATGATTCACGCGATTTGTCTAGAGTACAGTAAATACTTCGTTATAGTATCGTTCACATTATTCATCTATTGTCTGTTGCTTTTAGACCACATCCGGAGGAACTGAAAGCATTATGCTTGCTTGTCTAGCTTACCGTCAGCTGGCGAAGGAACGTGGCATTAAACATCCAAATATGTAAGTTTATACAACAGACAATTGTTGGGAATTTATTTTGTATCAGTATTGTTTTTTTTTCCTTGATTTTTGTGAACTCCTCAAATCATTCGTACAATTTTTCTTACTAGAATGAGGGACACTGTAGTATATTGTATCAACTTTTAAATTCAAAAGTATTTGAATGGTTGGCGGCAATCTTCCGGAACCCTTGGACCGAAGTTTCGTGTTAGTTGACGCTCACAAGTCACAGCGAGGCGTATCTGTGATTCGAATCCCTGTCATCCAGTTGTACAGTGAGAGACGTTACCATTGAGCTATTGAGGCTGATGTCTAACCCCTTGTAGGACTGTTTTGGATACTTTGATTGGACACCAGATAAGTAAAAAGTGATGGCGAGCCCCACCTTCTATGGTGTCCACATTGCCAGCAAACTTGACTGACAGGATTCAGTTTGCGCCAAACAAAGAACTAGACATACTTCACTAGTCAGTCATTAACTGGTGTTCAGTCAAAATTCGAAAATAATTCACCGAGTAAATTTTATTTACCATGTCAGTATGTGTTACGCCCCATCTGTGTAGAGTTTTTCACGTGGATTAATCATGATTATAAATAATCGAAGTTGTATTTCGTTTTTCCGCCCAGATAATAAGTTACTCCTTTCAGAGTAGACAAGATCTTTGTCTTCTAATAATAGTTGGTTGATTTCACAACACACTAAAGCATACATTATGCAGATTGAAGTCTATTTTATCCCCAGCCTGGAGGCCTATGTAGTGTAGTCCATGGTTGAAGTTCATAATCCCGATGACTAGCTGTATATCTTGGCTACATATATAATGCGTATTCTGAGGAACCATGATTCGGTGGTTCAATGGTTGGACACTGGCCAACCGAGCAGGTGGTCTGGGGTTCGATTTCTGGTCGACGCACTCCTTAACCTCGCTTGGCCGATAGGTAGTATGGACCGTAAAATTGGAGAAGTTGGGTGTAAACTTGGCAACACATCACTTGAGAACAACGTCATTTCTGCTGAGACTTCAAAGCTGAAGCTTGAACGCCTATTTCCCACTGGGAATGCAAAGGAATAAAATTAAATAAAAAGATAATTCTGAGCAACTGGCTGGCTAGATGTGTAATAGTTCGAGCAGAAAGCCCGTCTTGTCTTAGTGCTTATTGAAAAGCTACCTTAATTCTCATACTGAATAGACAGTTAGTCAGTCAGTCAGTCAGTCAGTTAGGGGGCTGTTTACTCTGAGATCTATTTCCTACACCCCATTAGCCTTGTCGCCTGTTACACTAGAACTATGATCATAAGTTGTGTTAATTAACTGTAGTGTAAATTTAGTCACTCAATGACTGTTGTCTATTGGTTAAAGTATTCTCTCAGAACATCAGATGTATTGGTATTCCTCGGCCATTAGATTGGCACCCAGCGGCTGAATGGTCTACCAGATCGCCTTGTAACTGGAAAGTTCTGTGGTCAGGCTGCAGTAGGTGCGTACTGCTGGAAAGTCCCAAAGCAGGACGTAATATCACATTGTGTGTTAAGACTAACTTATACAAATGTTTATTGGTTCCTGTCTAAAATGACAAGCTAGTGAAATTCACAGACAATGATAATCCTTCTTTTCTAATGTATTCTAGGGATTATTAACTCAACTTTTGCTTAAAATTGTCTCAGTAGGTTAGAAATTGTTTGACGTGCATTAGTCTCACATCAAAATTTGCAAATTTACAACTCATTTCCCTGTTTGGTTACAGGATTTCATCCTGAGCTGACATTGATTAGATAACCACTGGAAAACCTAGGAGTACTAGACAGCTGTTTCATCCTAGTTTGGGAATTATTGGCGGTACGCACCCACCGGGGTTCGAACCCAGGACCGTCTGGTTACAAGGCGGGCTAGCTCGTAGATAATTAAGCCACTGGGACCCTATCCAATGGCCCATAAATTCTAACTTCTGCCAATTCACGATATAGCTCAACCACCACCAAATAAGGAGTGGACATCTGAGACCCTATGTAGGATACTCAATAAAGCAGGAATTAGGGTGGTATTCAAACCTACGAACTCACTCAGAGACAATCTCTGTACGCTAAAGGAAACCGTTGGTTGACCCAATTAGACAAAATAATATAATTTACAAAATACCTCGCAACGACCGTAAGGTCAACTGCATAAGTCAAACTAGTAGATTACGAGTAGTCAGATTATCAGAACATAAGAATTTAGCTAAGGTAAGAATTGTTAACCCCCAGAAGATAAGTAATTTAGAAAAAAGGTCAGCGATTGCACTGCATGCATTAGCACACAACCACACAATAGGGTGGGAGAGGGTTAAAATTCTAAGAAGTAATCTATTTAGGTGGAGAAAGAGGTTGATTACTGAATCCTTGTTCATCGAGTCTACACCCAACACGTGCAATAGGAATGACTCCTCACTCATACCAGAAATATGGAAAATACTACTACCAATCAAATCAAGCGAGGAAAAATAATGGAATTATATAAATGAAGTTAGAAAATTGTTTGAGTGCCTTGATATGATTATGAGTGGCAATAGTTTGTGCTCGAAACGTCATCAGTAAATATTACTACTGTATAACCCTGTGCGTCTTTATCAAAATAAATTTTACCCATAATTGAATTACACTCTAGTACAGTGCACAAGTTCTATTCTTATAGCCACTTAGGTTGTTTAAAAGGTGACATTCAGGATATTCTTCACCGCGATCGCCTGTCTATCAGTACTCACAGTTAGAGCCGTCTTGTAATTGATTAGCCAATCAAGTGTTCAAAGTTTGTAAAACTGCAAAATTGTAGTCAGTGACACGTATATTCGCGACGATAATGATCTCGATGGTAACATGATGAGAGCATGAATTATCCTGAGGCTTCAGATCTGTTTTACTCTGAAGTCGTGTCACCTGACAAGAATCCAGTGTGCTGGCTGATAGCAGGGCAGTGTGATTCTTTGTCATCTAAGCGAACAAATATTTTCATTCTTTTGATCAACTTTATTCATGCAATAGCATGACACTAACTGGATAAAGCTTTTGCATTTGAAGCAACGAGTGCTCTGTTAGATTCTCACTGGGAATCAGGTACATTCAGTCGACATATCGTGAATAAGAGGCAACACACATCCTGGATTCTACAATCGGATGCCAATCACACAAATAACTTTAAGTTCTCAACCCTGGTAATGTCGAAGCATTCATTCATTCATTCAAGGTGTCTCTTCATGTATATTTAAAATAAAGCTGATCGTTGCAGTTGAATAATGTCAACTGGAAATCACTAACATAAATGTATAATTTAAATTATTGGTGTCTTTCTTGTCAGATGTCAAATTTCAGATTATTTAATTCACCTTATTTTGTCCTGTTGTTGTAGAGTGATTCCCGTCTCAGCTCATCCTGCATTTGATAAGGTATGATTTCAGTTGTGTTTCTTTTTTTCTTTTTTTCCAAATCTCTGTTTGCATTTATCAGAAATGGAAAATCCTTTTTTTAATGTATTGCACATGTGTACATAGATATATTCATGTTTTATCTAATGTATATGTGTGTTTTAGCCATTATCAACAATGTGCTAGAAACAGCATGTGATTCGCCTAACTGAAATGTTCTCATACTCAACTGAACCCTTGTATACTTCTTTATGTACAGCCTACAGTAGGCTACTAGTGTCCAACTCTTTTATTTTTAATTGACTTGCTTTACTCAGTATATTATTTATTAGCCTTTCACTACTACCTTGGAGGACAGATTTTAGAAACTTGGTGTTTTTGACGCAAGGTTAAGAATGTAACTGTGGTCTATTTTTAGCCTTACAGTTATTTGGTTATGCTTTCAGAGTTGTTTATATACTTCAGTCCAATGCCCATATATGCATACAAATCCAAATCGTACAGTTTCTTTTTCAAAATTATGATAACAGTCATTGAAAGTTAATTGGAATAAATCTTCTTGATCCAACTGTTGTCTTCAAGTGTTGGTTTGTAGGGATTTGATTGATTGATTACTGCATTTCATCACGAGCTGACATTGGTTAGAGAACTATTGGAAAACCTTGAGAGTACTGGATAACTGTTTCGTCCTAGTGTTTGGGACTCTTCAGAAGCACACACCCACCGGGGCTCGAACCCAAGACCTTCTGGTCGCAAGGCGAGCTCGTAGACCACCTAAACCTCTTATTATTATTCTTGATTCATTTAAAACTATCCTTTATCAGTAGGATTATCTTAACTCACTTCAACATTATTATTATTGTTATTATTATTATAACCATTACTATGGATACTACTCTGTTTGCAATTCTCGATATATTCTCTAATGACTAATTGTTTATCTAAGTGATGTAACTGAAGCGTAATGCATTTTATCTTAATTTTGATCTCTCATACACCCTCTCACCTTATTTATTTGAACATGACCTGGAAAACATTCGCACCTATCTTTGTGCATGACTAATTCAATGTGGTTTATTTGCTTATAAGTCTTATATCTCCCAATGTAATTTCAATAGTATATATATATATATCCCCGCATGTAGAGTATTCAGCTGACGAGTTCTACCGAAATTTGATGAATTCATTAAATCCTGCTTTTTTAACCTTTATTGTCTGCTTTAAATTCGTATCGGGAAATAAATGTTCTGAATAGTGTTGAAGTGTTTTTCTAATTTCCTCTCAGTCAACACTGTCTGGTGAGGGCCTTTTCGAAGTCGATAAAGTTGAGGTAGAGGTTTGACTGCTAGTCTGTCTGTGATATACTATAATATGTGGTACTATATGCTGATAGTTAACCGATGGAATAATATTCCTCGAATTATATCGTGAATTCAGATATTAAACTGAATTATTATCAAACTAGTAAATTATTCATAGTTGTGGATATGCCTTTCGGATGAATGTCAACGGGGCATGAAACGTTGTTTCAGAGATTTTTGTGCCAACGTGTCCATTAATCAGTTAAAATACACTGTAACACTCAGAGTGTTTTTTTTCAAATGCATTTTATGCACAATTTATATATCTTCTATAGTTTGGTTTGAAAGGGTTTGTTATGTTTTACGAGTTGATCGCGGACTGATATCAGTTAGAGAACCATTGAAAACCAGGGAGTACTGGACAGCTGCTGTTTCATCCTAGTTTGGGAATCATCGGTAGTACGCACCCACTGGGATTAGAACCCATTACCTTCCGGTTACAAGGCAAGCTCGTATACCATTCAGCCACTGGGACCCGATTCAATGGCTCATGAATTCTAACTTCTACTAATTTGTGATTTACCGCGACCACCAACCAACAATGTCATCGGTGGGACATCCATCCACACACGTGACTTCTAATTGGACCTCACTGGTCCATCATTAACATCAGCATCCAAAATCCTACATTCCTCAATTCCAAATAAGCGAAAAACAAAACACGATTGTGTTTTTTTTAAAATCCTTGTTTGGTGGTTGGAGGCATCCTTGTAGCATCTTCTATATCAGGCAACTCGATCAATGGTTCTTCCCCACTGTTGTAAATTAACTGGAAGGTGTCAAAAACGGTGGCTTGAGATGAAGATGGACAAAACTGTATTCCAATATTACCCTTTCATGCTTAAATTCATGAAGAGATTCTGGCTCCAATTCGTAGACCTTGTTCCACATTCCTCAGTCTTGTCCAGAGTTTTATGTGTCCAACCTGTCAGTCAGTTGAAACACACGTGAAGTGGAATTCGCTTGTGAAGGAAAAAAATGTCATCAAACCGCACACTATAATTATACTATACTTATGATAGCTGCAAATGCGCCTGTATGGTTATTGAACGAGCCTAGTGTAGCCTAGGTTATGCTCTGATAGTGTCCCCATAACTCTATGCTATCAGATCTGCCAAGAACCATGGGATAGTTGGCTGGCGTTATGGTTATGCGCCAGTTTCAATGAGGATTGTATTCAGTATTCACTTAACTTTTATTAAAGATACGGCTCATTCACTTGACTCTTCTAACCATATGGTTGAATCCCGTTCAGCGCACTTTAGCTAGGCCGACTAAATACTATCATCAGTCACCACATAATAACCTAGTGCATAGAAATTCTGTTCTGAATAGCTGAGTTTTGTTCATCTGAACAGTAAGAGTTGATGCAAATGTCCAACATTTTTCACCGAATTTTGAGAGTGAGTGATCTTCCAGTAATTCTTTCAATATTTCAGCCTTTACACAAGCTATGGAACAGTCATATTCACAGTAAAATGAATCCATTCACGCTATGATAGTTTCATATTTCGACATCTTCCGGTTTCATTTAGGTGTATGCGTGACAAATGAAAAATGTTCTCCAACACATTTTTGATAACTCTACTGAAAGTGTGTGCTGACAGACATTTCATTGTTTTTTCACTATACATAAGTGATCTGCTGTTTAATGTGTTGTTGAAGAGGAATATTCATGATAATTTTGTGAATACCAAGATATTCACATGCACAGACATTTCGGTAGTGTGGGATGTGATCACCGCGGTTTGAAATAATTTTCTCACTATTAATATAGTCCCTAGCTACTGTTAAATTGCTTTCAACAAGTTCGATTACTACACTTGTGTTGTGATTCGTTCCGGTAATATTGAGGTTAGGCTTCGGTTGAGTGTTAGGTAATGAGGGGAAATCAATCGACGAGGCTGTGAAGTTGCATCGACAGAGATGGTTAGGACATGTGTTACGTATGCCTAGTCATCGCCTTCCTCGACAATGGACAATGTTAGCTGACATAGGGTCAGCCTGGAAAAGAGCTAGTGGCGGTCAAAACAAAACATGGCACCAGTCAATGAAATCCACAACAGTTAGTTTAAGGGAGGTGTAGACTTGCTGGTCGGGGTCCTCAGGACGGAAAAACCAAAGGCTGGAGACTATTGGTGATATGGCTCAAAATCGTTCTCAATGACAACGCAGATGCATCTACTTCTTGTGACTTATAATTTCCAATGAAACTATATTGTTCTTAGTTATTACTATTCCTTTTGTCTCATATCCCTGTCTACTGTCTCTATCATGCATTTCTTTTGCTTTGTGTATGGCGACTTGAACTGCAGCACATCGGTGCAGAGTTCGATGTAGAAAACAGACAGACAGATTCGTTCTGGTGTCACATCATCTATAATCGATATTTCTGCGTTGTGACAAGCGCCTGTTAACTACTGTCAGAGGTGTTCTACTTTTTGACGACATCACAATTTCAGCATTCTTTAAAAAGAAAAGATTTTATTGTAGTATTTTAGAATTCCTGATGGTTCTTATTTGCATTCTTGAATTTTCTTTTCTTTTAGGCTGCACATTATTTCTGTCTCGAGACTATCCATGTCCCAGTGGATCCTATAACATACAAGGTGGATATGACTGAAATGCGAGCATCAATCACCCCGGACACTTGTATGGTATGTTTAATCATGTGTTTATCTGTGCTTCTCACTTATTTTGAAATATGCACCGATAAAAAACTGATCAAACAATATTTAAAATCAAGGTATGTAGGTTTTGTAAGAATAATAATAATAATAATTTGCTTTATTCCAGAAACAGTACTAGTGGTTCAGTGTGGAATTTTCAGCACATATCTACAATATTTGCATCTAACTTTATGCAACGTTTAAGAGGAGTATTTCAAAAAAATAAATAAATATAAAGATAACAACAGCAAAAAAACACAAAAAACATAAACAATAGTAAAATATTTTAAAAAATGCGAAAAAACACCAAGACGTAGAAAGGAAAATAAACAGCATATAATAATATCTCAGTATTGGGTAGTGAAAGCTATGATATGATTATGCATGGTGACAGTAAAGCTATAGTCATACAAGAAGTTATGAAATGATATTTAAGAATGATTATCGCCAAGATAATCAGTTAATTTGGTTGAAACAACACTAAACAATCATAAAATAACATTTCAGGGTTGTTGTTTTGTTTTTATTGTCAGGTCTAATGCAGTGTTTGTAGTGGTAGTGTGAGTAATCCTGCATAATACAAAATTTTTGAGATGATGGTAATGGCGTTCACAACCAATGATTGTCAGTTAATAAAAACAACCACAAAAACTAATAATTACATGATAGTTAATGACAGGACAATTTGGTAATACTCATAGTGCTATTATAGTCGGAACCACTAGATAGATAAAAGAAGGAATACAGTGAAGTACGAAAAAGTAAGCCAATGTTAATAATTTAGGTAGCGAAGTATGTTTGAGAAGGAGTTCACTATAGAATATAAAATAAGAGAGAAATAAAAGAGCCTAAAATTATGATGTTAGTAACAAAGAAAGTCATAGGTTTCGCGCTTAACATTTACACTAGTTGCAGTGCAGATTTCATCGCAAACCGACACCATTTCGAGAGTCATGGAAAACTAAGCAGCGCTGGACAACTGTTCCACCCTAGTTTGGGACTCTTCATTAGTGTGCACCTATAAGGGCGGGTAGGATCGAACTGATAACTTCAGGTTAAATGACCCCTGTGCTGACCATTCTCTTCACTCTTTGCGACCTCCTAGATCCAATAAAAAGTCCCGGCTACTCTACATGTGATTATCCCTCCTCCCGTATATTTCCGTGTATTATAGTTTCTTTGCATTTCTGATTTTTCTTTTCCTATCATTATTGTGTTTATTTTTTGTATAAAGTTCTGCGTTGAAAATTCAGTTTCATTTCAGTACAAAAGTCGGTCTCCAGTGGTAACCATTGGTACACACACACACTCACAGACTCTAGCCATGGATGTTTCGCTGACTGCGTAGCTACTTCATCATTTGTTATACACACACCACACATTGAAACATAAAAACCTTGATGTGTTTCCATAGGAAATCTTATCTTACGTGAGCTTAAGGTGTGAACTGATCATTTCATTGTAACATCCAGCACTGTAAGCTTCAGTTTAATCCCTCAGCGCTCTCCCCAGTAGTAGTTTAATTCATTTATAATGTGGGCTGATTCGCTTCACCAGAGTTTTCTCCCCCTCTCTCTCTCACACTGATATATACACAGGTGAATCATTATTATTCATTATTTATTTCCCACACTAGCATAATCATTGATTTCCCGCATCTGCGTGATTATTGATTTTAATTACTGAATTCCCATGGTTTGTTAATATTTTAAAATGTGACATTGATTTTCCTAACTGTATAAATACGGAGTTGTTGTTTAACATTTCGACTGATGTTAGAGACAGTAAAAACTCTCGTATTAACGTCCAGTCTTCTTTCTTTGCCTTGCGTGCCCGGCGGTATTGTTGTTGTTGTTGTTGACGTGCGATTAGGACAGATTAGCCAGAGCATTAGTTAGATTCGCTCGTAGTCTACAAGGTCCTAATATTCACATACATAACACACACACACACACTTATTCTACTTTTGAATAAACTGTCAGAAACGTTAATTTGAAATTAGCCCTCATAATGACAGACTAATTTTGCTAGACTTTCAAATCTATAAATTTAATAAGCAACAAGCCAATAACGCATACGCACACACACACGCACACACACTGCATTTTATGATTGACTAACGCCCTAAATTCAATTTTTAAATGGGCTGAGATTCGGTAGAACGACATTTCTTTGTCGGTATATTTTTTCTCCACATATGGCGCTTTCGTAAACTGGTTGGAACATTAGCAACACTAGTCAATAGTGTTTTGTGAAATCTATGGTGGTGAATAAATTATACTGTTCAATTCCACCTGTGTAATCAGTGTACAATTTATTTATTTATTTACAATAACTATTCAGACACCTTTTACTGGGTTAGTTGTATATAGTCTGTCAATGTTTTTCGGTCAGAATAATAACCACTTACTATATATTACTATTATATTATTATTGTTCCCTTGGGTTCCTAGTGGAACATAGGGCTTCAACTGCACGTCTCCACTTGCTTCTGTCTTCTGCTGTACTTTTCATCTGCATCCATGTTAATCCATACTGTTTCAACTCCTCTTCATACGATCTCCTCCATGTCACCCTTGGACGTCCCACTCACCGCTCCCCATTCGGGTTCCACTCGAGCGAGGCCTGACGCGCGATGTCACTCAGCAGCCTCCTCAGCGAGTGTCCAATCCATCTCCACTTTCTCCTGCATATTTGTTGGGCGATTGGTTCTTGTTTTGTTAGTTCCCATAGTTTCTTGTTGGTGATTCTTTCCGGCCATCTGATCTTCAGTATAGACCGAAGACAGTTGTTGATAAAAGTCTGCAACAGGCTGTTGGAAATGCTCATTCTTTGTGACCCGCCAAGTTTCTGATCCGTATAGAAGAACTGACTGACTTGACTGACGTTTGTATTTAAAATCCGAATCACTTTGTTGTTGATACTGAGTGAGTGACGAAGATTTCCAGATTGGTTTCAGGTTGATGAATGTGTTTCTCGCCTCCTCGATTCTCGATTTGACATCCTCATCCGTCCCTCCTGTAGTTGAGACAATGCTCCCTAGATAATTGAATGAAGTAACCTCTTTCAAATCCCTCCCGTTGATGGTGATTGGCGCTGGATGTTGCTGTTGTTGTTGTTGGTTGGTTATTTTCATAACCTCCGTCTTGTCTATGTTCACCTGGAGTCCTGTCTTTGCTGCTTCTTCGACCACTTACTACTCCATATGTATTCTGTAGCACTGACTAACCAGACCTCGACATATGTTCTTCTACTGCCTCACAACCGAAGTTTGAATATAGACACCTCTTTAGTGTTTACAAGTCACGTATACAAATGCTGACTGCCAACTGTGGTGGTGTAGTTTGGATGAGCTGGACTTTGTGAAGATTTTTATTCACTACTCACTGATAAACAATTTAAAGTTAAGTAGGCGTGAACTAGAATTCTCCTTAAAATGGTTCATTATTTATTTCCTTACTTTCGGAATGAGACATAGGGATTGAAGTTAGAGCTATGAAGTTTAGGTGGTAGTGGGTTTTTTTCACTGGGTAGGATTGTTAGCCTCACTCCCAACCTTCCCTCTTTACCAGCCTTAATGTGGGAATAGCGAGGTATAGGAATGCGTCGACCGGGGACCGAACCCCGGACCTTATGCGTTGTTGGTGAGCGTTCTACGTCTGAACCACCAAAGCATTCAGGATCCAACATCGTATAAAAACAGACTGACAGCTTCTACCTTATCATGGTGGTATGCCTCGCATACCACGATGACCCAGCGAGCTACACTGGTTGGTTTCGAATGCTCCTGCAGATCCTATCATTCTAGAAAGGTCACGTGGGAAATAGTTAGACTGAAAGCATTTACTGTCATAGTGTAAGTTGTTTGCACCATGTTGGGCGTCTGAGGGTTAGGTCGTACTGCTGGCAAATAACGGGGTGTAGCAGAAGTGAAGTTTTACCTCGCGGAGCTCTTTGTGGAGCAGTGGGGAGACTTTGGTTCGAAATTTGTACACCTGACTTACAATGTCATAGTTGGCAACTCCACTCATACACACAGAAACACTGTATGTGACTATCTAAGGTATTTCAACAGAGAAATCAACTTCCAAGGTGTAGGCGATCGGAGGGTGATAACCGACCATACACTTCCATAAATACACTAAAGTTTCCTGCTTCTGAAACTATTCGAATAAAATTTGTGAGACTATGACTGAGTGAATTCTCGGCGTAGAAATTCGGTACAACAGTGCTGCACACAGCACAACAACAACAACTGTTCTTTTGATATGTAACCAGATAGTTTTCACCGACAAAAGACAAAGACTCATATAGGATGTCAGATACCAGACTGGTTTTATGTATTTAAAAAAAACTTATATACTGTGGTGAGAGCTGGCTGCTAGCCAAATCGGTAGATAGTAATTTTCGTCAATGTTTACGTCCCCAATATTGGTCGTGAGAAAAATAAGAACAAAGGCTGATTCAAAAGCGACCACAGCAGACTTTGCGTAGGGGGATACAATTTGCAGATAGATAATCTGAACTTCAAGAAACAGCCACAAAGAGATGAAAGATTAACACGTTCAACGAGAAACCACCAATCAGAAGTCTGTGTTTGTTTGCTTACAATAATCTATAATAATGTCCATGAAAATCTATAAATACCTGTTGATTTAATAAATAAACGATCTGTTGCCTGGTGCTTGTCTTCTGTCATTACACTACTACTGATGCATTGAGATGAGTACTTGCATACCACTCATATCAACCAGCAGTGCTTGCCTTTCAGTCAGATCGATATGTTTTTCAGGACGAACTCTCATCAACGGTGTACCCAGTATGACTCAGCTCAGATGGCTACCCGAGTCAGTTGAAACCAACCGATTTCTGATCGTGGAAAACAACCATATGGACATTAGAAAGAAGAGAACACGAAGTTCAGCAAAGATATCTTTTCGGCGATTTCATTTTCAAAAGCTGTACAATCGCATTTAAATACATAATTCTACATGAAGACAATTCTTGTTTGATTCTATATAATTATGACTGCGAATAACTACCATGGACCTAGTTCGGCATGTTACCTTAGCTTCCGTTTTTGTTTTCTTTTTCCTTCTTTCGTTCTCTTTTTTCTTTTTGATCCTTTTTCGTTCGCTATGTGTGTGATTCTTACTCCCACAGTCTTCATGCGATTCACCCATTTTTTCAGTTATAAAAACAGTTTTTTTAAGTTTGTTTCCATGCTTTTCCTGTTCACATTTATAATTCGTTTAATAATAATAAAAATTAATTATTTTACAATTATATCTTAAGCCTGTGCAATTTTTTGTGTTTCTAAGGCTCTTGTAATCTATATTCACACCTCTTAACTTGCATCTCAAGTTGAAAATTATTATTTCAATTTTGTTGCCATGCTCATTTTCACACACTTGATATCCGTTCTAATCCTGTGTAATTTTGTTTCTAAGCCTCTCGTAAAAACCATATCTAGTTGGAAATAATTATCACTTTTTATTCGCCGTCGTAATTATATAGAATCAAACAAGAATTGTCTCCATGTAAAATTATGTATTTAAATGCGATTGTACAGCTTTTGAAAATGAAATCGCCGAAAAGATATCTTTGCTGAACTTCGTGTTCTCTTCTTTCAACCTATTTTTGGCTGGCGCTACTCAGTCGAACTGGTCATACCATAAATCAGATGCATAATTTCAAAATTGGTTGATATGATCGATATGCCACTCCGCATCTCAACCAATCAGTTGTATATAGTTCCATGCAAATATACTTTCTTTCTTTATTACAATTTATGGTATCAAGTAGATCACCTGGACTGCGGTCTGAATAACTTGCTTTCCAAAGGAAATTATGTTGAAATCTCACCACTCAAACTGTTTAAATTACAGATTGCTAACCAATTGTCAAATTATGAATTTGACATCTGTACGTATTACTGACATTTTTTATGACCAAGCATTCCATTAGACTTTAAAGATGCCAGTCTCCTCTGATGAATAAGACTTTTATCAGATCTTAAAATAATAATAATAGATTTGGTCATGTAGGTAAATGCAATTAGTTCATGACAGTACTGACAGATGTGCAATGAACGCCAGTTTCGGGGGTGGGGTGATGAGTGCTGGGCTAGTATTGCTGACACTAAAAACACCTTCATTCACTTGGTCTAACTTTATCTTTTATTTTTTGTAGCTTGTCGGTTCAGCACCAGGATTTCCCCATGGAATTATTGATCCTATTAAAGAAATCGCTGAGGTAATTAATCATTGTGAAATAACTCGGTTTTAATGTATACTCCGACAATCCAGTTTATTTATTTATTTTTCAATCTTTTATTTTATTCCTTTACGTTCCTTAAGGCTTCAAGCCTGAGATTTGAAGCTTCAATGGCAATGGTGTTTCGTTTTACACGGTGAGGTTGCTAGCCCCTCGCCCAAACCTTCCTTGTTTACCGGGCTAAGTGAGATGAAGGAGAAGTGCGTTGGCCGGGTATCGAACCTTGAACCGTGTGCGATGCGGTTGGCGAATACTCTACCTATGAGCCACCAACGCATACAATCCAGCAGTTGCCTAGTATTTTAGATACATTCTTTAACCAACGGCATAGACATTCAAAAATATTAAACTGGAAGTAAACTGTCAATTAAAAAAATATTTGTCAAGTATTGGCTTGTAGGGATTTTAATTGATTGGTTGGAGGATCCCTACAAACCAATACTTGATAATTGATCTGAGGCTCACTAGCGACCGGCCCTATTCAGCCAGTTACCTTGGGCTCTAGGGCACATAGAAACAAAGGAAATCTTATGTTACATGAGAGTTAAGGTGGATAGATCAGTCAGGAAGGATCAGAGAAACAAAATAAGTAAAACAGTTAGCCTGGGAACAATAAGGTCCTTACCAAGATAATAGAAGTCGATGAAAGATTTTCTTTTGTATACATAGTTCTGGTCTCTCTATCCGAAAGGCTAGAGATTCAGTAGTGTAAAGGAGGCGAAAGCAGATCGCCTTAGGCGGGTTATTTTCCACTTTGTCGATCACCTTGAAGTAGACGTTTGTTGAGATCGAGTGACCAGTGTTCAATTATTGGATTTCTTATAGAGCCGCTGCTAGCTTTCTGCAAATATGAGCGAGATAAGTGTACTTGAACCTTCTTAGAAAGGATCCGCGTAGAATGACCAATATACCTGGCTCTACATGAACAGGTGAATTGATGTGCACATACAGAAGTAGTCTTGTTCTTTGAAGACTACTGGGCGACTGGAGAACACTAATCTTAGCGTTGATGCGAAAAAAGTTATTCTTAAGGACATCACTAAGTTAGTTACATTTGAAGTCAAGGCTAATGCAAAGTCTATTTCTTCTTCCAGAGCATTGAATGTAAGTAGTGAGAGTTATAATTAGGTTGCAGAAAGGTAGGAGAACCTCTGTAAGAACTTAAGTAATTGAACAGTGAGTATGACTCACACCCCAGTATATCAGAAGTCCGATTCAGACAGCAATACGTTTGCTCCGTAAACTGTTTATAGAATTCTCTCAGCACTACCTGACATTGAGATTACTGTTGGAAATTTCACTAATAAAAATCGGATTCGTGAGCAACAATAAAGCTGTGTTCGCATGGTGAGCTACAAATACCCCCCTCCTAAATATGCCAATTCCTTTTTGTGGAGCAGGTGTCCAGTGTAGTGTTTTTATGAAATTCGCATTTCTCCATATTGTTCACATGACTGAAAAAAATTTCAGTGTTCTGGGTCCTACAAGGATTTTGTTATAAATTCAAAAAATTAATAGCTATCAGTGAAACCACTGAAGCGTCTTTACTCGACCTATATTCTTTGAAAATCCTCACCAGTGTGTACTGTTTGCTGCATCACTCTTATTATTGGAATGATTTCATCGGTTATGAATGATTGATTGTGGCAAGAATGTCATGTGGAGAAATAGAATGTATCAGCCTTATCACACTATTCCAAATCAGCCTTAGTATTTGCTAATTATTATTATTATTGTTCCCTTGGGTTCCTAGTGGAACATAGGGCTTCAACTGCACGCTTCCACTTGCTTCTGTCTTCTGCTGTACTTTTCACCTCCATCCGTCTTAGTCCATACTGTTTCAACTCCTCTTCACACGATCTCCTCCATGTCACCCTTGGACGTCCCACTCGCCGCTTCCCTTTCGGGTTCCACTCGAGCACTGGCCTGACGCGCGATGTCACTGAGCAGCCTCCTCAGCGAGTGTCCAGTCCATCTCCACTTTCTCCTGCAAATTTGTTGGGCGATTGGTTCTTGTTTTGTTAGTTCCCATAGTTTCTTGTCGGTGATTCTGTCCGGCTATCTGATCTTCAGTATGGAATGAAGACAGTTGTTGATAAAGGTCTGCAACAGGCTGTTGGAAATGCTCATTCTTTGTGACCCGCCAAGTTTCTGATCCATATAGAAGAACTGACTGGCTTGACGTTTGTATTGAAAATCCGAATTTCGTTGTTGATGCAGGCTGAGTGACGAAGATTTCCAGATTGGTGTCAGGTGGATGAATGTGTTTCTCGCCTTCCCGATTCTCGCTCGATTTGACATCCTCGTCCGTTCCTCCTGTAGTTGAGACAATGCTCCCTAGATAATTGAATGAAGTAACCTCTTTCAAATCCCTCCCATTGATGGTGATTGGCGGTGGATGTTGCTGCTGTTGTTGGTTGTTTTCATAACCTCCGTCTTGTCTTTGTTCACCTGGAGTCCTGTCTTTGCTGCTTCTTCGACCAGTTTGTCGGTTTTCGCTTGTAAGTCTTCGATTTTGTGTGACATCAAACATAAATCATCCGCAAAATCCAGGTCTTCTAGGTTCTTCACGTTGGTCCAGAATATCCCTGTCTTCGCGTTTCCCACTGTCTGACGCATAATCCAGTCCACCACGTCAATTTCCACGTCCCCATCCTTATTTTTGCTTTCATCGAAGGGAGGCACATCGGCTGACTGGCTTCCCGAAGGCTTTCACCAGCCTGCGTCATTTCACTTCCACGATTCCAGCGAAAAATAAGGTTATTGTTTATATTTTTAGTACTTTTAATATATTTGTGCGTTGAAGTTGCTGTAGCAAGTTGGTTAAGTTTTGGGTTGGAGTTGCTAGCACCACGACCCAACCCTTCCTCTTTATCCGGGCTTGGGACCGGCTAGAAAACTAGTGACCTAGTAATCTAGGCGAGGTTGCTAATGTATAACATAAATTGAGTTGATGTACACTGTTTTGGTTCGCAATACATTGAGATTGGCATAGGAATGCCAAGTTGGACACAGACGCACCGATGACGAATATCGCTTGACTATGCCAACAATATACTATACGACAGCTACCTGTTTCCCCAGCTCTTACTACTCAAGGGAGAATACACAACGACGTGAGCCGAAAAGTATATTTCTCGCAGTAATGTATGATTCAAAATATCACCGGGGATATGTCAATTACTCTGTAATCATAATCAATAAAATAGTGGGCGTTATTTTACGTAGGCTAATTCTGATTGGTTTGTTTCCTAGCAGGATACTTATCACTTACATGGGCAAAATTCTGATTGGTTTATTTCCAAACTGGACATCGACCACCGTATCATACACCTTCCAGCTTACTATCAATTTATGGTCTGTACTTGACTCTCGTGTGTATCATTTAGACTTATACAGATGGAAAAAATTATAAGGAGAACAGTTGATTAAACAATTGTCTAAGCTGATCGTACTTTGAATGTGTAGCAAAAAGTGATAGAATTTTTAGCAGAACTGCTAAGTTATAAATCCTTTGAATAGCCAAACCAGGATATAAATAGCATCGATCTCCACAGTCACCCATTAGGTGTTGTTTTGAACTTTTTGAGGATATACATCAATCAACCTTCTAGTAAGACTGAATAAAATCTATTATTGCGATAATTCACGGTATCTCAGTAGTCTATCAGGGTTTTTTTGCACTCCTATGGTAGTCGTAGTAAACTGAATGCTCATTCACTTTTTTTTATAAAATCAAGTTACTCAGTCAGTCACATCACTTCTCATGTATTCAGTGTTATGGGAATACTAACAAATGATTGTTAGTCCTTGATCAACACAGGAATTAATGCATTCTGACTTCTGTCTCCCAAAGCGCCGCAAGTACATATTCTTAAAGATATTCCAGTTGATCTGGATGTATCGAACTCTGTGATTATCATTCCTTTTACAACTAACTATTGTCAACTTGTAATGAAAGCCTTCTAGTTAATTCGCATACTTCACACACACACATACACACAGACAGTGGAAACGGCTTAAGCACTTGTCTTTCAAACCGTGGGCCCCGGGTTCGAGCACCGTTTCACCTACTTCAGCCTGAGCACATACACATACACTGAGTGTAGGTCATAACCTGACACAGAAAACACCTGCTCCAGATATAACTGAGTTCAAACAAAAGTGTACACAAAGACAATCAGTCTAATTCACAGTGTATCTACTAACTTCATGAAAATCTCTTCTAGCTTGGTGACTGGATAGACTTTTGAATAAAATACATATATTTCTTTTCCCTTTATTACTTTCCAGCTAGGTCAAAGATATAAGATTCCAGTTCATGTTGATTGCTGCTTAGGCGGTTTCCTGTTGCCGTTTATGAATAAAGTTAATTATCCAGTTGAAGAGTTCGACTTCCGACTGCCTGGAGTAACTAGCATATCGTGTGATGCGCACAAGGTGAGCAACCTTTTGTAGTTTGTGAATTTTGTTCATACCCATGTCAGCTAGGCGTGATCATGTCTACACTATGCAGAGAAATTACTGATTAGCCTCTCGATACTCAGTCTGTAGTAGATAGATAGATAGCATGACCCTGAAGCCTATGATCCACTTGATATTATTTTACTACTATTCCCTTCGATTCCCAGTGGAACATAGGGCTTCAAGCTTTAGCTTAGAAGTTTCAGTAGCATTGTTTTTTTTGACGGTGTGGGGTAGCTACCCTCACCCCAACCTCCCTTCTTGTCTAGCACATTCGCCACTAAGCTGCCATCTTTTCTCCACATGATGATCTCCTTTATGTCACTATCAGACGCCGGGTTCGTCGCTTCCAACTGAGACTTCACTCGACGGCCTAGAGTGCGAGATCACTTGACAGTTTCCTCAGCACTTACCCGATCCATCTCTATTTTCTTTTGCATATTTGATTAGCAACAGGTTCTCGGTTGATCTGTTCCCAGAATTTCTTGTTACTGATTCTTTTTGGCCATTTGATCTTTCCTATGGAGTCAGTGAGGGCAGCCGCTGATAAAAGTCTTCAGTAGCCTGTTAGAATGGCTTTTCATGACGCACACACTAAGTTTCTGACCCATGTATGTATATATAGCGGAACTGCCTCCACACTGGTGTGTTTGAAGTCCGAATTTCGTTATTTATTCTGAAGAGTGCAGAAGGTTTCCAAACTGAATTCAGGGTAATCAATGTCTGCCTTGCCCTTCCGACCCTGGCTGCTTTTGATATCTCCATCTACACGACGTGTCGGTATTTGAAATGGTGCTGCCTAGACAAGTGAATTAATTGACGTCTTTCAGATTTCTTCCATTGTGATAGTGAGTTTTGTTTCGGGAGTGCTGAAAGTAATTTATTGGTGTGAATTGGGAAAAATAATCTCTGTTAACTGCTATATTGATAAAGAGAACAACGAAATCACCCAGAAACTAGAATAAAAATTAACTGGTCATGTATTATGGCAGTGAAACTATTATTTTTCATAAATTCTAAAACAAAACCCGCTTTAATTACTCTTATATTTTAACCAGTGGCCTTGCAATAGTCAGTTCTTTCTGTGTTTTTTTTTCAGTTTGGCTTTGCACCAAAAGGCGCCTCTCTTATCCTGTACAGAAATGCATATTACCGGTCGAAACAGTATTTTGTACAGACAACTTGGTCAGGTGGGATATACGCCTCACCAACATTTGCAGGTAGAAATTAGCCTAGAAAACCATCTTTTCCCATGTACTGTTTTTTTTATTTTTCCCTGTTGAATATTATATTATCATCATTACTACTGTGTGTAAATATTCATTTCACCTATGCACAATTCCACTTCTTTTTTTCTATGAAGAGTTTCATTTCCACAATCTTAGATTGTCATATCTAAGCTATACGCCTGCTGGTTCCAAATTAATGTAATCTACTAAAGGAGCTTGATTTTTCTCAACAGCCCGACAAGTGTTTTGTATATCTTCATGTAGAGTCCGCTCTTTATAAACAGACTGTAATTTAGTCTAGAAATACCGACAACAAACACAGAACTGCCAGTGGACACCATTCCTCTAATCAAGCTACTACTGAAGACCGGGGAGGCAGCATGACCGGATTCACAGACAGCGGTGGATTTGTTCACACCACTATTGCAGAAAATTTCGAAGAAAGGAGAGGTGCCTACTGATTGGAAGAAAGGCGACCTTGTCAAACTACCAAAGTAGGGCCATGTAGTCCTGTGGAAGAACTGGCTCAGAATCATGCTCTTGTTCACGCCGAGAAAAAAATATTATGTTGCATTATCCTAGACAGACTAGAAGATGCACTGAATGCAGAACTCCGTAAGGAATAAGCTGGATTCGGGGAAAGCAAATCATGCAACTCTACATATCTTCATCATCATCACCAAACAGAGCACAGAATAGCGATCAACCCCCCACCTCAACTTCTTCGACTTTGAAAATGCCTTCCAGCAGAGTTGATCGCGAATTAATTTGGAAACTAATTCAGCACTGTTGCATGCCCCCAAATTATTATTATCCTCATTCAACAGCTGGCTATATGACAATGGCACGTATCAGGTGGTTAGCAAAGGAAAACTCGATAAAGTTTTTGAAGTGAATACAGGAGTAAAACAAGACAGCCTACTATCATCGATGATATTCCTAATCGTCGTCGTAGACAGGCTGTGGGTAGCGAGAAGTCATGAACACGTTGGGTGACTGATGAGAATAATTCAGAAGATCTGGACTTTGTGGATGACCTTTGTAGTCACACAGCTTGGAAAATCCTTCTAGGCAAGAGTGTGTTTAAAATGTTAATATATGTGTAAAACTTGGGCACTGTGGTAGTAAGTAATTCCATATTAGTTTGTTTATTAGGTATATCACACAGTGAAACAGTATTATTTACTGGATGACGTTTCGAACAAAATTTATTGTTCATAATCATATCAATTGTGATCACACGACTTTGACACTTGAGTTTTATAGCTTTCTTTGTTTTCTCCTATTTGTCGTAGGGGGAGTAGAATTTTCCATATATCGGGGACAGGTGATGAATCATTCCTATTACATGTATTTGCAGTTGATTCAATAAACAAAGCTTCTGTTATCAATCTCTCCCTATACCCTGTGACATTAGATTTTAAAACTGTCATCCTATCCCATCCTATTGTATGGTTGTGTGTAACTGCATGTAGTGCTATAGCTGAACTATTCTCTAGATTTCTTATCTTATTTGGATCAACCAATCTAGATTTTGCTAGGTTTTTATGTTCAGCTAGTCTGACTGCCCCTGTTCTACTAGTTTGACCTATGTATTTGACCTGACAATCATTGCAGGCAGGGTATTAGATAAACTAAATTGTTTTGTTTTAAAGGCTCTATAGGATCCTTTAGCCGACAAAGCTTGTTTCTAATTGAGTTTGTGGGTTTGAATGCCGTTTTTATTCCTGCCTTGTTGAGAATTCTGCGTAAAGCTTCTGAGGTTCCTTCCTTGTATGGAATTACTACTGATGATTTAGATTCCCTATTGTTGGTGTCGTCATTAATATTATTATTATTATCATTATTATTATTATCACTATTATCATTATCATTATTATTGTTATTATCACTATCGCTATTATCATTATTTATTTTATTTTTACATTTCCTTACATATTTCCTGACTAATTTATCCGGGTAATTATTAAGTTTCAAGGCTTCTTTTATATGTATCAGTTCTTGTTTTAGATTTTCTTTGGTACTACTTAATTTTTGTGCTCTGTCATTTAAACATTTCACCAATCCTATTTTTACTGATATAGGATGGGATGATTGGAAGTCCAAATATCTGTTTGAGTGTGTGGGTTTCCTGTAAACACTAGTGTTTAACTTCCCATCTTCTTTCCTCTTTACGTTGCAATCTAACATTGGGAGCTCCCCTTCCTGATTTTCCAATTCATAAGTGAATTGAATTGCTTCAACCTTCGAGTTTATGTGTTCGAAAAACCTATCTATATCTTGTGTTCTAAGTACAGTGAATGTGTCATCTACGTACCTCCACCATACTTTTGGGGTGGGGGTGAACGTTTCAATCGCTATGCTTTCCCACTTATTCATGAATATATCTGCTACCACTGGGGATATTGGTGATCCCATGGCAACTCCCTCAGTTTGTTTGTATATTTTCCCTTGGAATTTAAATACTGTGGAAGTCAGGCATAGCTGTACTCCCAGCATTATGTCCTCAAGTGGCACTTTTGTCCTAAGTTCGAGGTCTTGGTCAGAAATGAGTTCGTTTCTGACTGCCTCCATAGCCATATTTATTGGTATACGTGTGTATAAACTGACAATGTCAAAACTAACCATTTTTTTCTTCATTATCTAATTTTAAATTATCTAATCTGTGTTTATAGTTCATAAGAATTAGTTAGTCTAGATTTCGAGTGGATTTTTAGGGGATTTAATACCATGGCTAAATATTTAGATAATTCATAAGTAGGTGAATTTCTAAAATCAACTATAGGCCTAATAGGGTATCCTGACTTATGAACTTTAACAACACCATACATCCTACTGGGGTTATTAGTTTTGGGCATTAAATTAAACCACTTAGACTCACCTAGAAACGGCTTCATTCGGCGTATAAGATCCGCTGTGGATTTCTTAACTTTATTCATAACTGTATCTATTGTTTTGTTCGAAAATTTTGTTCGAAACGTCATCCAGTAAATAATACTGTTTCACTGTGTGATATACCTAATAAACAAACTAATGTGTTTAACATGATTGTAAACAAGGCCGATAGAACGTCTTCACCTACAACTTAGTCTTTGATTATAATACCTACTGGTTGTGTTAGTTTCAACCTGTGACTGACTGTTACGTGTCATATTCCGACATTATTTTGCTGAATGATTCCCTTTTATTGACTATAAGGCATTAATGTATTACCAAATTAGTTTGTTTATTAGATGTATCACATAGAGAGACTGTATTATTTACTGGATGACGTTTCGAACATCTAACAAACAAACTAATATGGAATTACTTACTACCACAGTGCCAAAGTTCTATACATATAATAATGTATTAGTATATCTTCAGTTATTAAAACACTAATCAGCGTGAATGTGACGCATGTCTTGTATGCCAATCCATCGGCCTTTGCCTAGAAGATTAACGGGGCTCAGAAACACTGGACCGGTATTCAAATAAGTATTTAACAAAATTCTTTGAAATCACTGAGTATTTATCAGGGATTTGTGACTCTTAGGTTTTAGAAATCACTAGTACTCACTGGAAACCTATACTCATTTCTTCTCTGGGACGTCTATTTTCTGTGTTATATATGCATAAAGGGAAGGAACCTGAAAGAAACTACCTCCTTCACATACCTACCTGGGAAGCATCGTTTCAACTACAGGCGGAACTGACGAGGATATCAAAGCAAGGATCGGAAAAGCAAGACAAGCTTTCACTACTCTC